CATTCTTCCTCCTCCTCTTCTTCTTCTTCTCCTCCTCCTCCTCCTTCTTCTCCTCCTTCCTTTTGCCATAACAGAAGAAGTCCGGAGTTGTAATAAGTTATTAAAAATAAAAAAGAAGAAGTCCGGAGTTTCCTCTTCTCATTCTTCCTCCTCCTCCTCTTCTTCTTCTTCTTCCTCTTCTTCTTCTTCTTCTCCTCCTCCTCCTTCTTCTTCTTCTCCTCCTTCCTTTTGCCATAACAGAAGAAGTCCGGAGTTGTAATAAGTTATTAAAAATAAAAAAGAAGAAGTCCGGAGTTGTAATAAGTTATTAAAAATAAAAAAGAGGTGCAATGCTCGTTAATTTGCTTCAAGCCTTTCGGGATAGTGTAAACTGCACTGCGCGTAGCTCCGTGCAATCTACCGTATTCCCAAAGGCTTGAAGCTAAGCAACGTGAGCACTGAGCCTCTTCTTCATTGTCTCTGCACTCAGGGCTTATAAACCGCTCTTACTCCCTCTCTCTTGGCGAGGTGGGACTAAACATAGCTTGCCATAACCTCATTAGTACCGGTTCGTGGTACGAACCGGCACTAAATGGTGATGGTGGGGCCATAGCCTGACCGCAGGCTGACACAGCCTCTTTAGTACCGGTTCGTGGCATGAACCGGTACTAAAGGTTAGCCACGAACCGGTGCTATTGGTTGCCGCCACGAACCGGTGCTATTGTACACATTAGTGCCGGCTCTAATACAAACCGGCACTATTGGGCTTCACGTATGACCCTTTTTCTACTAGTGTCAGCACCAGTAGGTGGTACTACTCTTAAAGGACAAATCCATCCATGATCCGAGACTGTCAAAACAGCTAATTAGACAATTTTAAACAGCAAGTGCCTACTGGCCGGCCGGCCAGATCCGTTAGATGCGGGAGCAAAGGCTTGGCTATTTGGGGTCATGAACGGACGTTTGAATGAAATTACATAATAAAATCATCGGCATGGGTAACAACTGGTGCGTCGTTTGGGGAGAACTAATAGTTTCCACGACTAACCATCAAGTCATTGTTTCTCTCATCTCTCAGAGCATCTAGTCGATCCAATCCAGTGGAAGAATATTTCAACCACTCTTTCATCATATGGCTTTCTCAACCTTTCAAGTTTCTTAATAAGTCTTTGTACTGGCCTGACAAAAATGTGCACGCACAGCTAGCCAGCTAACTGTTAGATTGTGAATTTGTGATGGTGATCGATCGAACTCCCAAAGCCAACCATGACTTTCTTCCCATGCAAGTTTGGCAGTAGTTGCTTTTTCTGTACTTTGCTTAATACTCCCTCCGTCCCCAATTTTTTTTGACGCGACCTCCATCCCCAATTACTTGTCGGAGAAAAGGATAGAAATGGATGTATCCAGAACTAATTTAGGTGTATCCATTTCTGCAACAAGTAATTCAGGAGGGAGGGAGTAATTAATAAGAATGGTTGTGTGCATAGTAATGATAAAGATGTGAGGGGTTTTAACCTCATTTACAAAATAGTAAATGGTATGTAGTTGAGATATGCTGTCAAATATTTCCGCCATCCCAAAATAAGTGTCTCGACGTACCTTAGTACAAGTTTGTAGTAAACATAGTACAGAGTTAAAACACTTATTTTGGGATGGAAAAAGTAGTTGTTCCATCATAAATGTCACATTTACTCCCTCTGTCCACAATAAAGTTGTACTAAGGTTAAGACATTTATTTTGAGATGGAGGGAGTAGCTGTTAAGACACTTATTTTTGAATGAATGGAGTAGCTGTTCCACAATAAATTTAACGTGTACGATCAAAGTTGTATTAAGGTTAAGCCACTTATTTTGAGAAAGAGGGAGTATTACGTTATAATCGTAGACCACATAGCGGAAATTGCTTTTGGAGGCTGAGCTTCATGGAGGTCTTCAAATGCAAAATTCAAAACTCGTGAAAACTCATATTTTTACATTTCAGAAAATTCTGAAAAAATACAGATATAGATGAAGGCATAGTGCACAAGTGTGTAAATTTTTAGAACGAAATACGTTGTAATGAGCGTCGTAAAAAAAATCTGGGCTTTTTAACACATGATACTATTCATCCTCCGAGACCATGAATTTGCCATTTTTATACAAGTCAAATTTCAACATATTTCATCCTGAAATTTTACACACATAAGCCTCACATCCTTGTTTACTTGTACAATTTTTTAGATTTTTTTGAAACCAAAGTTTTGGAATTTTGATTTTTTTTTTTCCAAAAAACGGCCTCCATCCATAACGCCATTCTCGACCACATAGACTTAACCTTGGCCACATTGATCGAGATGGTAAACTAATCTATCGTGGAACAGCTCATTAACGGTGCATGTGCACCGGCCGGCCAGCCATAATATCTTATGACAAACACGAGGTTGCAACAGCTAGCTCATTAATGTGCATTGAACCAGTGTGATCTCTATCGGTGGGCTCTGACCCGTCTCCAGGTAAAAAATTGCGGTCTCATTACAAGAAAAGAAATGCCATCTACTACTAGATACGACTAGATACGACTTCTGGTGAGGCAGACGAGAGCGTACATAATTGGACAATTAAGATATCGTTCTGCAAGACTTGGTCACTTGGATAAAAAGGACGAAAGAAACAACTAACATCCACATTAGTTATTGTAACCGGAATTAGGAGCAGGCAATGGAGTGTTAGGATGCCACAGGAGAGGCTATTGGACCAACATAAATTTGAGGTGCTGTGGAACATTGTGGACAACAAAATATCTGTTGATCGATGATTGTTAGTGTGTGTTGTTTATGCAATACATATACATTCCACCTATCACAACTAAGTTTATCTCTGTCAAACTTTTCCCCTCCAAATCACTGCTTTCCTCACCCTCTTTCTGCCGAAAGGTTTACTCTGTCTCTTCTTCTTAGCCCTAATCGGCAGGTATCGGTGCATGCGACGCTGGCGACGGATGTCTAGGATTTGTTTTTCTAATATGTATCGCTCATACCGAATGATCATCCTTGCCGCTCATATGGGCCTTCCATTTCGGCCTTGCTATCAACAGGTTCTTCATCATGGATCTCCAGCATTGATACTGCTGAACCATGTCCAATGATAACCCTGATACATAGAGTATGTGCTTCAGTTTACATACAAAACATCATATAGATGGCGAGAATTGCGAAAAATAGGTGGCAGGGAAATGACAAAAATAAATGAAACTAGCACTGAAGACCATTATTTTCCACCTACAAAACATACTACAACATAACAATGCTAGGAAGTAAAAAAGACAACATCTGAAATATCGATTACCTTGTTGACCCCATCAAAGCGGCGAGACCACGGACACCTTGATGACAACCAATGTGAAGAATTCTCTCAAGCCTGGAGAATATGAAGCATCACTAATTACTTTCCGGTTACTTTAATTGTATCACATGGGAGACAACATTTTTTAAAATAAAATTGTGTGACACGAGCATCTCAAGTGATGCTAGCATTAGTTCAAACATGTGCAACGACACATGTTAGGTGTGGCAAGTTTGTGAACGTTGCAAGGACATACTCCTACAGTGCCGATTACCTGAAATTACTCAAGCTCCACAAATGAACGATGCCGTTTCTTGTACCTATAATTACAAGTGGAAGTCTGGGATGGGAAACAATAGAGACAACTGGAAACATGAAACCTTTTAGTGTCTCAATACACATCTCTTTCTGCAGGTCCCATATCTGGTTGGAACAAACAAACAAGCATGTGTTATTTTTAGTGTTATCTGCATAATGCATTGCTACATGTTTTAGTGAAATAGCAGACCTTGGCAGTCATATCCTCAGAGCCCGTAATCAAATATTGCTGATTATCACGCATGAAAAAATCTAGGCAGTTCACTTCGTCCGAATGCCCAGAAAGAGTACACATAGATCTGGAAGAATCAAGACTCCAAACCTGAACACAAAACATACGAGTTTGCAATCAGTTGGTCTGGAAGAAAGCCAATTTTCAGTTAGCATAGGAGACAAGTCCGAACCTTTACTGTGTGATCTCTTGAAGCACTAGCAAAACTGTTGGTGTTCCATGGGTTAAATGCAATCTGTTTTACAGTATGGGAGTGTTCCATAAACGTTCTTATGCACTCCCAATCCTTGTCCCAGTCCCAAACCTTTATTTGTGTATCACATGATGACAACACATAAGGCTGTGTAGGATGAATGGCCATTGATTCAAGAAATTTATCATGAGCACAGAAACTATTGACTTCCTGCACTTCCGTTTCATAGCTGTACACGTGGATCAATCCTTCGTGATATGAACCGGCCAGAAACCATTGACGCCGTTCAATAAAGTTAACAAGACAACCTACAGTGAGAATGGTCATCTTATTAGTATCTCTACTCCTAATGGAGCAGTTGGTAGTCTCGCTTCCAGGTTTTTTTTCGTCCCACCACTTTCGTCCGGTTTTTTTTCGTAGGTTAACCGTCGTAGATTTTTTCGATGCTGGTTTCTTATTCACCGGTTTATTTACCCCCAGCTCTTTCCTTGCAAATCAGCACTTTCCAAACGTGCACGCAATCACGGATCTAAATTTACTAACTTATCCAAATCAACCGATACCTTCCATTATTGCAAATTTCTTTAGGAAACAAATAATAGATTTTAAGGAAACAAATAAAAAATTTTAAAGACGCATCATACTTTACTAACAATCACTAAAAATCAAATCTAAATTAATTAACCTTACCTTAAATCACCCAATCACTTTAATTAGAAAACATTTTCTTTCCTAACTGCACCCCGCTTAGTGTGCACATAATAATCCGAAGTAATTAGAGTCACATGATTAAATCCATTTATTTAGAGCGACATGATTGCGTTTCGGGATGGAGGCCATGATTTCGTTGAGGCCGTTGCTGCCTCCTACACTCAGGGTGTGTCGCCGAGATCGAGGCGAGCATGAGGAGCTGTGGCCACCATCATGGTCACCCCATCGCAGGGGATGGAGCACGCCGTCAGCCTACAGCTTGTGAAGATCACTGTTGCTCTTCAGGTCGCGTGGTGACCGGATCTTGCCGATGTGTCCCTCCCCGGCGACCTCCTCTTCGCCCGGTTGGTCGGCATGGATCTCGCCACTACTGCCCTCAACTTCTCTGCCTCGAGCTCGACGGTCAGCCACCATGGATCCCCCAGCTGGAGGGTCACGTGAACCAGCCGTCCTCCCATGCTGCAGCGGTGAGAAGGTGACATGGCTCTCCGTACATGAAGAGTGGAGTTCGGTCAAGTACTTATATACTTGGCCTCTACTGCTGATCCATGTACATGGAGAAGAACAGACAACCGCTCATTCATGCTTCGTTCCACTCCTTTGCGCTACATTACTGGAGGTGACATTTTCCTATCTCTCTATGTTGTAACAAGCCTGCTGCCTGCATAGATAATGGATTTTTTATTTAAATTTATCGCTGCTTAGTGCTTTGTTGCAATTGTTCACCCAAGATTCTTATATATAATCTGAGCGTATGTAGGCATACTTAGCTTTGCTATTCCATTTTTTCTGGCGCATAGAAATAAGGGTATTGTCCAGGTTAGGTATTCAATTGAGTATGGTATTTGGATTGCTATCAGAATGTCTTTTCTATGCATGTGATTTCTCACATCTGGTTATAATATTTGTGAAGACGTGCATTGCACGTGCACTTGGAAGCGGACCCGTGGCCCGCGCCGGACGGCGCCGACGCCGACCCGAGCCACCTCGTCCGCGTATTCTTGGAGCTATGGCTGGTCGATTTACATGAAATTAATTCCCTCAGTTCTGGTGGCAAATATAATACACATAATCCATATTGTTATGCACTATCGTGTATGTGTGAAATAGATGGATTATGGCCCCGTACCCAATAAGATGGATATGTGTGTGTGTTAGAGAGAGAGGGAGAGGGGGATAGAGAATGAGGAAGAGGGAGGGAGAGTGTGTGTCTGTGTGTGTGTGAGGATTTGATGGTAAAAAAGGTCGCCAATGTCGTAATATTGAACTCTTAAAGTTAATATGGCCCCGTTGCAATGCACGGGCGTTCTTCTAGTGATAACAAAGAAACCAGAGATTTCATATCATGCCAGTAAATACAAATGAGCCCTTTGTTAGTCCAATAATGCAAACAAAAGCGTGGTACATTTTTCCATAAAAATTGAGCTTTTTGTGATGAGCCATCAAATGTATCCACAAGAAATGGAATATTGTCAATATAAGAGATGTATAGTGTGACGGTTTTTCAGACTGTTCAGAAAAGCTTTTAGCATTTTATTACTTATGTTGAACAACAACAAACTTGCCTTTTCATGACAGAAAACATCGACGAACACCAGTAACTGTGTATGTTCAGATATTAATATGACTCTGGTACTAACTTCTGAGAGAATACAGTAACTTGCCTGCGTGTCAGTCTCATAAACCAACACGTCCATCATAATGACCTGTTATAATCCTGCAATGAGAAGAAATTTAACCATGATAATCACAATCAATGTGCTCAGCTGAAGGAGGTTTAGCCATTCTAATGCCTATGCATACTGTACATGATACACACTCGATCACTCACCATGGCTCTGTCTGGTTTGCATCGAGGGAACACAATGCTGCATGGGTTTTCTCCACGAAAGTGACCTGATCCAACAAAACTCTGGTAAAATTATAGAAACCAAAGGTTGGAAGATCTATGAAGAGAAAAGAAAACAGACCTTAAGTAAAGGTGGAATTGCCTGTTGCATCGTGGATGCATGAAGAAAAAAAGAAACAAAAAGAAGCATCAGTGCATATCAACCCACTTTCCAAGATATTCAACTGGTCACTCAAATGAATTCAGCTCAGAACTCAACTGGCCTTTGCAAATTATATTAAACAAAATAGAATAGATCATATCTCATACCGGCCAAAATCCCACTGGATTCAGGTAGTTCTGTCGGCTATTCTAACATTTTTTTATACGCTAACCAAATTTCACCAACCCTGTGCAAAACCAGGACAGGCGAGGCAAGCAACAGGTCACACTAGCAGGCGGTTCTGTTCTTTCACACTAGTAGAAAACCACCCATTAGTCCCGGTTCGTAAGGGCCTTTAGTCCCGGTTCATGAACCGGGACTAATGGGTCGTTACTAATGCCTCCACCCATTAGTCCCAGTTCAAACAAAAACCAGGACCAATGTGCCTCCACGTAGCCCTGTGCGCCGAGCCCAGTCAGGGGGCCTTTGGTCCCGGTTGGTGACTCCAACCGGGACCAAAAGGCATCCACGCGTCTGCATTCCAGTGGCTGGGTTTTTTTTTGAAAGGAGGGGGGTTGGGGGTTTTGGGGGGTTAATTTAGGTGTTTCGTATATTGTGTTAGCTAGCTAATTAATAGAGAGAAGTGTCCTCTTTTATGTCCGTGCTTGGTCGACGCTACGTAGTATATATACATAAGTGATCGAGAGAACCATTCAGTACAGAAGTTCGTCATGCATACCGAGAGAAGTGATCGATCGACCTCTCCTTCTCCGAGATATTGGTCGAACAACAAGTTTTTTACTGGCTACATACATGTACAATATGTATAAGATCTCTTAATTACAAACCCCTAGCATTTGAAATCAAGTTCCACATGGTATTCTCCGGCTTTACTGATGACGTGTTCAAGAAAGAATCCTGCCAATTCCTCTTGAATTGCTTTCATGCGATCTGGTGGTAGGAGTTCATCCCGCATCGGCCACGTCTAATTAATTTGAAGAAGGGGGTTAATTAATACATATATATGAATGAAACTCAACAGAAATGATGGTGTAATAAAATGAAATTGTGAATATTATTGCTTACGCACTTCATATTGTCTTCTAGAGTAGCCCCACTTGTTTTTCAAAGTCGCGTTGTGGATGAACTCGCACACGTAGTATCCACAGAAATCATTCCCTTCCTCCTGCCACAAGCACTTTACGAGAAATAGAGGTCAATCAAACTGATAATGAAGCATTATAAATGGCATTGATGAAAGTATAGCTATAGAATCAACGGGAGATGCGCGCAACTAGCTAGCCAATAGTACTTACTTTCGGGTATACATATCGCAGCTCCTTCGGCAGTCCCGGAGCTTGTGCGGTGAAATGTTTCCAAACCCTGCAAGACAAAGAAAATAATTATTATTACTTGAGATATCAGGAAATGAACAAAAAATTGCCGATATGGTGCGATAATGATCGATTGAACTTACTTGCTGAGCATTTCAGTCATGTCCGCATAGGTGCTGGGATCTTTCCGTCAGGAGTCTAAGACGGTTACTAGTCCACGCTCAAGCTTAATCTCCAGAAGAATATAGTGGTACCTGCACACGCATGCATAACTCATCAATTACATTAACCTTGCTCGAGTAATAAGGGCAACCGAATATGCACATGACAGTAACACTCACGGGCCGTTGTAAGGAAAGAGTATGGTATCTTTGTTTTGATTTTTGATCAACGATTGTAGCAAGTTGTCCTCGGCCTCTTCGACGTTCTTTTCAACCAGAAATACATCTATGATATTTGTGTTAATGAACCCAATATCATAAATTTCTTGTTTTTTGCACTCGACGATCTTCAATCTTCATAATATATTGAGGATAATTAATTATAAATACATGCAATGAAAGAGCCGAGCTATATATAGAGACTTAATGACAAAAATAGTACTTACAGGCAGTAGCAAAAGACCATTAATTTATCGAGGGCCTTTTGATTGAAGAACTCGAAGAACTCCTCAAATGGAACACACAACAGATCATTTGAAACGAGGTCGTGCTCCTCTTTAATGTTCAGATACAAACTGTTCGTCCCCTCAGACTCTCTGCAGGTTTTCATGTACCAACTATGGAATCTTCGCATCATTGTTGTCAGAGATTTTTCATCTTTGACGAGAGGCTTCCCGTACTCGTATCTGAATACGTCCACCTCCATGAAATCAGGAAGTGTATCGTCAGGCAGGTAATCTTCAAGATTGCCATAACCGGCCATCGTCCCCGGAGGATTAGATACATTGAGCGGGGGGCACGATTGATGTGCTTGTTCACCGAGCTGGGCAATTTTTTCCCCTTTGCTCGTTGTTCTTTTGATATTTTATCACTGACAGTAGTTCCCGACCGCTTGGCTTGGAGATATGTCTGTTCAGTAATGCGCTCATAGTTGGTTCTCGGCGGAGACTTTGGTGGTTTCCTCAGGGCATCGAGAGTGCGCTTTGCTTTCACCGGATCTACCTTCTCCTCCGGAGGTGGATGTCTCTTTGCTTTCACCCCTTCAAAGAACTCCTTCACGTGGGCCTGCACGATCGTATTGTTTTCCTCCTTGGTCCTCTCGTACGGTAACTTCTCTACAGGCTTTAGAGGTGGACCGTATCTGTATTGCCTCTCTCTTCTTGTGCTGCTAGACGCCGGAGCAGACGGAGTGGCTGCGGCGTCTGTCTTCTTTCGTGCTTGCTTACGAGGCGGAGGAGAAGGACTACGATGCGCCGAAGCAGCCGGGGCGGCGGCGGGTCTCTTCCGCCCTTGCTGGCGAGGCGGAGAAGGAGGAGGTGGCGTGCCGCCACGCACCGGAGAAGGAGGCGGAGTGCCGCCACGCGTGCCCTGATCATCACTCGCCGGAGGAGGAGGCGGTGGAGGAGGCGGAGTGCCGCCATGCGTGCCCTGATCGTCACTCGCCGGAGGAGGAGGCGGTGGAGGAGGCGGAGTGCCCTGACTCGCCGGAGGAGGAGGAGGAGGCGGAGGCGTCCAGTTCAGAAGGTTGATGAGCTCCTTCCGCCATAGGCATGGAGTCTTCAGAGCAGAACCCAGCCTAGTCTCCCCTTCACCGGTAGGGTGCTCAAGCGCGAGGTCCTCAAATCCCTCCGTTATTTCATCCACCATCACCTTAGCAAATCCTTCTGGAATCGGCTGGCAGTGATAAGTTGTGCTGGGTCCACTAGGATAAATTTGGCCAACAGCCGCCTTGACCTTCAAATTCATCCATCGCGCCATAATGTGGCAATTTTGAGACTCCGTGATACCATCCACGGAATAGCTGGCAGGAGCCGTCAAGACATGCTCCGGCTGAAGCAGCTCGGTGGAAGCCACGCTGCTTCTCCGCTGAGATGGCGGGGTAGCTTCGGGGGAAGCTTCGGCAGGTCGTTTGTTGCGATCTGCTGCTTCTCGTTCCTCTTCTCGATCCTCTAGCCCCATTACCCTTCCAAGCAGCGCCTGCATTTGGTCATGCTCCAGTTTCTTCCTCCTCTCGTGGGTTTTGTAACCCCCTGCGTCCGGAAAACCAACCTTCCACGGAATGGAGCCTGGCATGCCTCGTGTCCGTCCGGGGTGCTCGAGATTCCCAAGGGCCATTGTGAGCTCGTCCTTCTCCCTGTTTGGAAGGAACGTCCCTCGCTGCGCTGCATCGATATAGTGTCGAAGGTTCTTGACTGGTGTTTGCAGTTGCTCGTCTGTCCACTGACACTTCCCTGTTACAGGGTCCAAGGTTCCGCCAGCCCCGAAGAATCAAGTCCGGCAACGGTCTGGCCAGCGCATTGTCTCTGGTTCGATACCTTTTTCAAGGAAAAATCATACGTTTCTAAGACTACAGCCGAATACAAACATTCGACCGTAGTCTCGGGGACTACACCCAGTGGGTGCACTCAGCGTGCCCCCACTAGTTCTATCAAGGAAGAGTCGACCAGTCAACCGACAACAACAAAAAAACAACAGGAGTTGCTCTTCAGACTGTAGTCCACTGCCAGCAGTCGACCACAGTCTCGGGGACTACACCCAGTGGGTGCACTCAGCGTGCCCCCACCGGTTTGAGAAATCCATTCGACCCAGTCGAATGAAGGAAAAATTTATAAAGCCTATGGTTGACTGCCAGCAGTCCACCATAGCCTTGGCCCAGTGGGTGCACTCAGCGTGCCCCCACTAACCCGGAATTTCAATCGACACACCCAGTGGGTGTAGGACTACTATGGATTTCAGAAAGAAGAATTTCCAGATAACATATCCTAACAGAACAGGCGATGACCGACTGACCTGAACGTTGCTTTGAAGAGCGGAACTGGCGTCATAGGCTGCCTGGCTAGCCTCCCAGATGGCCTTCACCTGCTCCATCATGACTCCCGCCTGGCGTATCGCTTCTTTTGCAGCACTGGCTTGGTCCTCTGGGACGTAGTGGGTCGAGAAGAGTGAAGGCTGTGCAGCACTCGACGATGCGGGGTGAGCACTCGTCAGTGGCACCGCGAAAGATACGGTGGGCCGAGTGGTGTTCCCCCCCTCCGTGTCCCGTGTCTCGGGTGCTGGCACGTCCTGAGTCACCCTGCCAGTAGACGCTTTCCTGCTCCTCCTTTGCTTCAGCGGTTCCTCATCGTCGTCGTCGTCAGGAAGGGTGATAACGACATTGGATGGAGCTACAGAAAAGAATCTGAATTAGAGACTAAG